CATCCATCCATCCATCCATCCATCCATCCATCCATCCATCCATCCATTATCTTCCACTTGTTCTGAAGTCGGGTCACAAATGGAACCCGTAGAGATGCACCTATCCGATACCAATATCGGGATCAGTCCCGATATAAAAAAAAAAAAAAAAACTTTCTGGATCGGGTATCGGTGACAGTGTGACCAATCCATGACTGGGCAGATCTATTCACTCTAATTCTTTGCTTTGTGCTCTGAGTGACGTCACGTGCTAGTGAACTCACCGCACAGATTGTTTTCAAAATGGAACGAGCGAAAGGATCAGCCGTCTGGAATTATTTCACACTACCTCAGCCAACACATTTGACAGCTACGTGCAATATGTGCACAGCAACGGTTCCAGGGGGTGCCACTAAAACTTCCAGTTATAACACTACCAACTTAATCAAGCATCTCCAGAGACACCAACCCATACTCAAGATATTGGTTAAAATTAGCTAATTTTACTAAAGTTGGAATTTCATTACACTATAATAACATTTTTATGATTTTTACCATGACCAAGAGATTTTAATCTTAACCAGGTGGTATCACTGACACATAATCTCTTGCTATAATCAGCTCTGTAAATTAAATTAAAAACATTGACTTGATGGTAATCCTCATCTCAGCTTTGTTTTTTCTGTTTTTACCCCAGGCAGTATGAACCTTGGGTCCACTGCACGTATAATTGGGGGAGTCCTTGCAGGTTTGGTGGTTCTGGGGGTCATCATCTTCTGTTGTTGCCGGAAGAGGAGCAAAAAGGACATACAAGCTGAAGAGTATGTATCGTGTCTAAAGTCTTTTTTCAAGTGAACCAACATGAACAATTATGTTACTATGTTGATTGATTGTTTGTGTTTTAGTTCTCCTGGAGATATGGTGTTTTATGACAAAGAAGGTCCAGAAGCTGGAGAGCAGTACCAGGACAACAAGTCAAACAGTGAGGAAAAACCAGTTAGCCAGTATGAAGACAAGGACAGTCTTCCTCAAAATAAATACAGATTGCCAGGAATGGGGAAAATGTTGGAAGATGATCAGCACAGTTACAACAGTGGTAAAGACAGACCTGAAGATATTTATTCTCAACCGTATAAGAAAGATAAACAAAATCCCTACCGTGGAAGTCAAGATCGGCTTGATGACCCCCATGATCGCCATGGAAGTCAAGATCGGCTTGATGATCAACAGGATCGCTATGGAAGTCGCGATCGGTTGGATGAGCCACGAGATCGCCATGGAAGTCGCGATCGGCTTGATGATCATCGGGATCGTCATGGAAGTCGCAATCAGCTGGATGATCAACGGGATCGCTATGGAAGTCGCGATCAGTTGGATGATCATCGGGATCGCTATGGAAGTCGCGATCGGCTCGATGATCATCGGGATCGCCATGGAAGTCGTGATCGGTTGGATGATCAACGGGATCGCTATGGAAGTCGCGATCGGTT